AGTGAATCCTGGAACCCCTGACAATAGACTGTGGACGAGGAGGGAGGGTGCCCATCTAGAACTTCAGCATTCAAATGTGCCTCTGTTCTGCCCAACACTGGCCTGCCTTCAGAGCATGTCGTTGTAAGGCAGTGCAGCCAAGCCGTCTCAGGTGCTGGATTTGGAAGCATGTGGCTGTGGTCTGCACCATCTGCTCCCTGGGCAGCTGTCATCATCCACGCCTGGCCAGGTCACTCTTCCATGGATTGTGAAATACACACATGACTGAGAGCTGGAAGGCACCGGCACTAACCTTACTGAGCGAATGCCGTTCAACATGACCACGGCAGGCTGGAATGTGTGTGGGAGTCAACAGGATGAAATGTACAGTTCACACGCTAAGGGCCACTCAGCGTTCACGTAGAAAGATGGACGCACGGAGCAGGAAGGATGGAGGCCAGTGTGTTGACAGAGGCAATAACTGGGGGAAACAGGAGACAATTGGGCATCTGGAGACTTTCCTACTAAGCACAACACCCCAAGGATAGAATGGAGCACTCAGGGGAGGAGTGACTGAGCCTGGATGTGGACCCCGCCCCTTGAAAATGTAACACAGGATTCCAACATTGGGCTAGAAAATCCTCAGGAACTTATCAGTTCTAAGACTTTTAGACATCTTTTCTTACAATTTAAACCTTACCCAAACCAAACTCATAGCCATCAAGTTGATGCCAACTCATAGTGACCCTGTAGTACAGGGCAGAACTGCCCCTGTGGGTTTCTGAGACTGTAACTCGTGTAAGGGAGTAGATAGCCTCATCTTTCTCCCATGGAGCTGCTGGTGGTATCGAACTGTTGACCTTGAGGTTAGCAGCCCAATGCATATCCACTACACCATAAACCAGAGAACTAATTAGCTTGCTCAGTAGATGTCAACCAGTTTTCTTGGTAACCAGTGGAAGCAGCATGTCTGTTCTTCTCTCTAATTAAATCGTACACAATTTCAGTGTGAAGCTAAAACTCTTTATGGCCCTTCCAGTGAAATCCAGACACTTGCACTGGACAGATGACCAGTAAACTGATAGTTCATTTGGCAAATGTTCAGTATAAAGACCTGTGTCCTAAGGCACAAAAGCAAACCCATCTGAGTTCATTGTCTTGTTATTAGTTCTAATTAGAATGAAAGCACACAGCCAGCCATGAGATTACCCCCCCCCC